CATCGACCATTCGTTTTTTCGTCCCGTTCAAGAGAGGTAGGGCTTCCGCGGCCATCGCTGTCTTTTCTCTTCCGTCGCCATCACTGTCTTTTCTCTTGCGCTGTGCATTGTGTGAACTTTGACTGTCTGCCGACACTGCCACGCTTTGACGCATGCTTATGTGACGGTCATCGGACCGAGGCTTCTCCCATCTCAATGCACATGCACCGACGCTTCGCCCATCTCCGTGTATATCTTCGATGGTCTTTTGACTCTTGCATATCGTCGATGGTCTTGTGACTCTTGTATATCTTCGGTCGGAGACGCTAAGTAAAACACTTCCTTCGTGGCTGTCTGTCCACGAGCGTGTAGATTGTCGTTGACTTCGGTCGAAAGAGCTAAAGATTCGCACCTCCTTTCTGGTGTTTATTGTCCAGGTTCTTGTGGATATTCTTCGTGCTGCTCAACGTCGAAAGAGCTGAAGTTTCGCGCGGGAGTCGGACGTCTAGTAGCGGTGCGAGCGAGAGGAGCGTGAGGGTCTGAAGACCGGCTGAGAGTCGATGTTGTCAAAGCTTGTGGGTTTCAAGACTTGACAGTGATACAAGCTCGATGATGAAATCAGGAATCGCACGATAGACTTCAGTTTCGCGCAGACATCCTTCTCGAATCTCAGAAGGGCGTCGACCTGAGGTGTAAAGGGATTGAAGTAGCAAAGAGAGACACTCTGAGGAAATTGCATACGCTGAGGGTCCCTGAATTAGACAGGAAAAAAAGTGAGTCTCTATATATAGATAGGCCGAAGGCGCCCGTATCTATTAACTGAGTTAACTCAATGAAATGCTGGCCTGTCCATTGGCTGTTTACAAATGGACATCGAGATCCAGTTCTTCGCGCGAGAAACAGCTATAGATGACCTTCCGTGGGTCTCACTTTCACTACTAAGCCGCTACAGGTATCTGAGCGTCTGATTACCGCCTGAGGACCACATCTCTCTCTCTCTCTCTCTCCCAATCAATCAATCATCAATTGAATACGCCAATACCACATCCATTTGAATGCGCGAATACCTCTCTCTCTCTCTCTCTCTCTCTCTCTCTCTCTCTCTCTCTCTCTCTCTCTCTCTCTCTCTCTCTCTCTCTCTCGCGCTCTCTCTCTCTCTCTCTGTGTGTGTGTGTGTGTGTGTGTGTGTAGTGCACGTGCGGGCGGCATTCCTACGCATCAAGTATCTTGTCACGATATTACTGAGTCTCCTAGCGCGCGCGCGCGCGCACGCGCGGCTTTCGAATCTTTAGCGGAACCATTGACATGACGGGAACGGAGAGGCGACGATGTACTCTGCTGTCACGATTGGGGGTTGTGGAGAAGACTGTGGTAATCGCGGATGTGCAATGAAGAGTGGAGCGGTCTGAGAATGGCCAGGATGTAAGTGCTGAGGTGAAAAAGTTGGAAGAGGTGGAACATACTTGTGCTTGAGAGGAAGCAGCAGAGTACATCGTCGCCTCTCCGTTGCCGTTCATGTCAATGGTACTGCACTGAACCTTCGCAGACAACCGCCGAGGTTGCATTGCGAGAGTTCGCAGGGAAAACGAGACCACTGAAGAGAATCAAGAGATTGAATACACTGCTGAGGCTGCAGAGTGATACAGAACGCAGACCTGACGAGCGCGCAGTGAGACACTGAGACGAGTATACCGACCACCGGGCGGAGATGTCACCCACCGACAAGAACTGAAAAGGGGAGGTACTTCTTGCGCTTACCTGTCCGGGCGTGACACCGCTCTGAGTCCTTCCGCGGCTTTGATCTATCTCTCTCTCTCTCTCTCTCTCTCTCTCTCTCTCTCTCTCTCT